CATCGATGTCCATGAGAAGGCTTCGCTGGAGCTAGTCATTTTTTGTAACGTTTTGCCAGCTTGTATGGCCACAATCGAGGGTGGTGCCACACCGAAGAAAGTACCCAAAGCAAAGGTGGTCACGGGCACTCCAATTACGGGCGATGCCAAGTTAATGAACCAATTCGGTAGTATGGGCGTCATGCGTAGGAATAACATATAGTTGAACAGGCTATCGCGATGCTTCTCCACATGCTTGGACCATTCGTTTGTCTTCTTCGGCCAGAAGTGACGTATGAGGCGACGTCCAACCAAATTCGAAAGGCTGTAACAGAGTGTAGCGCCCAGTGAGGAGCAGAAGCAAATGAGAAATAATGCAATGGGAAACTTGTAAAGGAATCCCAATAGAATGGAGAGGAATAATGATCCTGGAATGGCAAACGTTTGTAGGCTGTATGTAAGAATTTAGTTAAGGAAAACAAAGTTGAGTATGTACTTCCAAAAATATGTACTTATACAGGACTCGAAACAAATGACAACGTGTTGATTTTTTTTATATATTCGTAATGTTTTGAGAGGAAATTATTTTTTGTTATTTTTCGATAAAAATAGCGTCCATATAAATCACATTTTCAAAGAATATATAAAATTTAGGAAAATTCCACAAATTTTCAACTTTTTACATACAATTTTAGTCTAGTGAAGTGCAAGTTTCAGACGGCTAAAAACCCCGTTGACTTTTGAGATTTTTTTTTGTGACGAATTTTTGCAATTTTTTCAATATAAGCATACATTTCTTATGAAATAAAACGCGAGAGACCGTTAGCCACAAAATTAAAAAAATCAACGCCAGATTTCGTAAATTGCACTTGTTATATAAAAATAACCGAAAAAGTAGTCTCTCAAAAAAGCTCTCAAATATCAACGGGATTTTTCAGCCTGTTGAAACTTGCACTTCATTAGACTAAAATTGTATGGCCTATAAAACTGCATACCCAAAAATGTTCTAAAGATTCTGACTAAAAAGTTGAGATTTTAATGAAAATTTGTTGAATTTTCCTAAGTTTTGGATAAAGTTTGAAACTGTGATTTATGTATATGTTTTTGGTTAAAGCTTGGACGGTAGTTTTATAGAAAGAAAAAGCTCGAAAAACATTACGAATATTAAAAGAAATCAACACATGGTCATTTGTTTGAGTCACTGTATATGTGTACATATCTAAATACACATATTCTTGTAAGAAATATACATTAGGGTGATCTAAAAAGCATGTAAAAAAGTAAAGTCGGATTTTAAACTTTCCCATGTATTTTGTATGGGAAATGGTAAAGAATCCTTGAAAATCGATATTTTTCAATCGGGCAACTGTCCCTCTTCAGGAGGCTTCAAAGAAAGGGGACCTTTAAAAATAGTTACTATTAAAAAATGGTTAAATAAACAACTTGGTTAGTATTATTCCTGTAAGTCTATTCGTGAGAAACACAATATTAATGTATTTCTTGGGCCCGTACTAAGCGCGGGGCAACATTGGAGAATGAAGAAATATCCTAAGTACCTGGTAGTCATATGAAAAGAGAGACTTGAGCGCTGCATGACTGTCACAAAGGGTGTTAGGGTGCATGCAAAGAGGTGATGGTTGAGATGCGGAAAGAACGCGTCTGATGAATTGTTTTAAACTCTTATACTAGCTATGCACTAGGAATTAAATGGCAAAAATTGTAATGACAAAGTTGGGCATTAGAAAATATTCGTGTAATTGTAAAAAAAATAGTCATTAAATTCATTTCCTCAAGGCATTTTTCAAATACCTCAAATTTTTTTTGTCATTTTGATGCCGAGTGGAAACTCGGCATTAGTATTTATTTAGTACTTTATTTTGAAAGT